TTGCCAGTATTGATAAATTTCAGCTAAATTGGCGGACACCTCATAAAGATATGATTTTTCATTTCCTTTTGTAGGATATCGTCGTGCAACACGGCGACATATTTCATTGCATTCGTTATGTGCACCGCTACTGGTTAGGCTGAATTCACTTGAAATTTGCACCATTTAAATATGCCAGCAATAGGAGAGACAAAAAAATCAGGAAAAATAATCATTTCAATCTTTTTTAATAATAAAAAAGAAAAAATTAATTTTCAATCAAATTAATAAATATTTTATGGGAAGATCTTAAAATTGTTATCATTTTTAATTTTCGAAAATGATCAAATAAAATTATCATTTTATGCAACAAGCAGAAAGAAAAAATTGAAATTATTATAAACGAAAAAATTAAGGAACTAAAAACTAAAAAACTCAAATTATTAAGAATTTTCGCTTTTTTCTACAGATTAATGGATAGGCGAACAGGTTAAAGTAAAGATTAAAATAAATTCATAAGATTGGTGCAGATATTTTTTGATTGAAAATTTGTGAATTTGTAAAGAATTTAAAATAAAACTTACTTCAAACAACGAAGTGCCTTCTCGAATTGCAATCTTTTGTAGGCACAAATATGTAAATCACTACTCCATGGAATCTGCTTACGATTCATTTCACATTGCATATTCCAACATGCTAATTTCTGTTCCGTTATATTGCAAAATGTGTAAAAATTATCAAATGATGCGGTGATTAATTCATCCAATGGAAATTCATAAAATTCTTCGTCGTAATTTTTTTGAAAATGTGTCTGCAAAGAGCTACTGGATTTGAATTAAAAAGAAAGAGAGGATGAAGGATAAAATGAATGATAATGGTGGAATTATAAAAGTGTTTCAATTAATATCGGTCAAGTTGGAATGACTGAATTATTATTTCAGATTGCGGATCAACCAAAAAAAATCATCATTTTGGATCAGGAAATCATCATTCTGGATTGCGGATTCGAGATCAACTATAATTTTGAGCTAAAGAAATGACTGAATGGCCAAGATAATTCCTAAATAATTTTTTATTTCGCTTACGTTTAACAGCACAAATTTTAGTTGACAAATAAAAATAATGGAATAGAAAAAAAAGTAAAAGAAAAAAGAAAATTGTTCAAGAATTTTCGCAAAAGAATTTAGAAAGAAAACATTTTTACAATGTAAATTAGAAAAATACTGTTTGTTGCAAAAATGATGTTCTTCTCTAAACTATTTCTGAAATAATTAAAAAAAGTTTTTTCTTTAAATCAATTCCAACTGTTTCTAATGCCTACCATATGTATTCCTTTATTTGAAAAATTAAAAAATTAGAATTTTAAAAATGATTTAAACATGGCAGAAATACTTCATTTTTATGAGTTGAAGTTTCAAGTAGTCAAAATAGTAAATAATTTCATTTAAACATATAGGTTTGAACAGAATGAAATGACAATTATTAAGTGATTTAATTTTGAATATGAACTAATTTTTACAGGAAATAATTTTCATCCTTGTACATGAATAATTGAATTACAATGTTAAACTTTGAAGATCTAAAATTTAAATTCTCGAATTCTAATTTCCTCCATTTCATGTTGCGTGTACTTATCATACTACAGTTAGATTAAGAGAAAAGAAATATCTTTCTGAAACTGAAACTGTTTAACTAAATATTCACTAGTTTTTAAATTTATTTATTTCCTATTTTTTTCATTCCTAATTAATGTTATGATTTATTGATAAAATTTAACAAATAAAACTAACATGAAAATCGCTTTTCCATTGTGCATTGCATTGAGCTTTGCATTTGATTGATTTGTACTCATTTTTGCCACGAATACTACTATTGTAACCACTATCATCATTATCATCATAATTATCATTACTACTACTACTACCATTAACAATAAAATTTATCAGATGATCATCATTTCTTTGAATATTTTCGGTGGAATGCAAATTACAGCATTGCTTTAATGTCGCATTTGCGCTGACAAATGCCATTATTAATGACAGCACTAAAAATAAATTAATAAATAAACTTGTAACTTTTCAATGTTTAGAATAAATTTAACATTTTTTGAGCAAATTATCTATTTGCTTTGTATTAAAATTCATACAATTTCTTAAATTTGTAAAATTTTGGCTGTAATATTAAATTAATCAACATTCGTCATCTTTTAAATCAATCATTATTTACCTATTCTATTCTAATTTTCTCTTTCCCTTTTTTTTATATTTAATGAAGTTATCATTTTCAAAAATGCAAAAACTGCAGGTTTTATACTTACTGTTTGCCAAAAAAAAGAAAGACTTACCAATTGATATAGTCGTCGTAAAATTCAATTGCATCGATACCCAATGTTTAGTTTCTAAACAGCAAATGAAATTTGAAATTTGATTAATTTTAAAAAATAATTGGACGAGAATTAGCATTTTTCAATGATGTCGATCACTATTTCTTTTATTTTAATTCAGATACTATAAATTATAAGAGTTCTTTCGTACTATAACAAAAAATATTACGACATATTTGTATAAATAATAAATAGTTGTAATTATTAGTTACAATTTAATAGAATGCTTTAAAAAAACTCAAAAGTCTATTTAGAAAAGATTTACGAAATGATTCGTTTAATGACATATTTTTAAGAAAAAAGATCAAATAAAATAATTTACAATTTCTAAACGATTAAATGCTTGAAACATTAAAGTGATAAGAGGAAAAAATGAATTATCATTGTCATATTATCATTATTACTTTATCGTTTATTATTGTTATAATTACTAATTATTAGCAACATTATTTATAGGATTATAAAATTACTAATTATTAGCATCATTATTTATAGGATTATTATTATCAAAAGAGCTGTGAAAAAATGAATAAATAAATAGCGAAACAAACAAAACAAACAAAAACGTCGATTAGATGATTTGCTAAAATCTGACGAGAATGAAATGAATGAACGAATGAGGCAATAAAAAGGAAAAAAGTGGGAATGGAGGAGAAGGGGGAAAGAGGAAAGGAATAAAATATCGAGAGAGAAGGATATATTCAAGATTTTAAACGCACAAAAAAAAAATCTGTGTCAAATAGTCGAATAAAAATAATATGCCAAATTATTGTATAAATAAAACAAAAAATGACTGCAAAATTTTGCGA